GAACAGGAGGAAGGGAGAAGAGATTAGATATGGAAAGTCCCATTTTACCCCTGAACTTAAACGTCTGTTTAATGCCAATTTGATGGAAGGACCAATGGTGGAACAAATCTGATAGTCAAGGGCTTGTTTCGTCCAAATTAAAAGACAAGGAGTAAATTTGGAAAATCACAATAGTCGGAGGACCATTTTGGAATTAACTCTATATATATATATATATATATATATATATATATATATATATATATAGTTATATAGTTAATTCCACTAAAGGTCTTTGTCTTTGTGGCAATTCTAAATTTAGTCTCAGACTATCATTTCTCCATTTAATATCTTAGACTATTATTTTTTGGACACTTTTTTAGTCCTTCTCATGAATTTTTCTATTTTTCATAAGGGTATTTTGTCTCTTCATATTGTTATTTTGTTATTTTTTTCGGTTTCAACAGGTTTAATTGGTTTAGGACTTTACAAAAAACCGGTTGAAAAATATGGTTACTAAAAAATCAGAGATTACCTAAATTTTTAAACCAATTAAACTGGTTGAAACCGAAAAAATAACAAAAGAAAATATGAAAAGACAAAAATGCTTTTACCAAAAATAGGAAAGGTTTTTTTTTTTTCGTGGAGAAACGAGGCAAAGCCTCGGATTATCTAATTCTACGAGTGTAGGCGCCTCCTACGTCGCGTCGCAAACTTCCCCAATCCTTGCTTGTGCTAAATTTGCCAAAAAGTCCGCGCGTTGATTACCCTCTCTAAACGTATTTTGAAGACAATACCATCAAAATTGTTCACCATTTTACTGCAATCCACTAGTTGGGTGCAGCCGGTGTCGTCAATCTCCTTGTCCTCCTGCAACAAGTCCACCACAGATTTGGAATCCATCTCTACAATTATCCTTCTATACCCTTTTTCAAGATAGAATCGTAAACCCTCCTTAAATTAGGCCACACAGTTCTGCCTTGAAACTCGTCATAACACCAATTTTGTCCGTGAAACCCCAAACCATGTTCCCAACTGAATCACGTACGTACCAAGCCACCCGCTGAAGCCATCCTCGACCTTTTCTTGAAGGCTCCGTTAGTGTTCAGCTTGTACCAACCGCGATCCGGTGGGACCACTGCACCAGAACGATTTAGCCGCGATCATGTTCCTATGCTTCCTCACGTCGTCAGCATCCTTAGCTTGCGAGATTGCCCACAGCACTGATTCCAAAAGGGACCATTGCATGTTGTTGAAGGCCGAAATATTTCTGTGTTTCCATCTAGCCCAGAGGACGAAACAGAAAAGGAGAGGCCATTATGGATTGGCCTAGTTGATGCAATTTGCTTTAAGCCATTCTTCTAACGTCTAGTGTATCGGGAAGGTGAAGGTCCTAGGCCGCCGGTGACAGTCTCCAGGTGGTTAGGGCTGCAACACTATCCCAGAAAAGATGTCGTAGCGTCTCCATTTCTGAACCGCAGACGGGCAACATTCCCCCCGCGATGTGCCGTCTGACCCTTTCAGCGTTTGTCAATAAGCGTCCTTTCAATGCAAGCCAAAGGAACATCTTAATTTTCTCCCAGCATCCAAGATTCCATAGCTAAGTCCAGTCCTCCTTGGAGTCCTCTGTACCCGAGAAGGACTAAAAATGTCCAAAATATAATAATCTTATTATTGATCAATTCATGATTATAATTAAAATTACATGATGAAGAGATGTATATATATTTGGGTAATTCTATTTACACCACTCCTTTAATAGGTGTAATAGCTTTATAGGTGGTGCACATAGAAAAGTGCTATTTGCACCACCTTCATTAAATATAGTCAAACATTAATATTTATTATTCATTTTTTTAACAATCAAACTATTAATTACCATGGAAGGCAGGCCAGTTGCCTTCTCTTGTGAGAAAGCAGTCCCTCGACTTCTCACCGGAGAAGGTGACGGGTTCGGTGATGACTTGCAACGGCGGTGGTAGCATGGACAAAGCAAATGAGATGAGAAGATGATTTGGTTTTGTTGGTTGGTTGAATTCTTAAAGTTGTTAAATCTGTAAATGAAGTTTATGAAATGGGATGAAGTTGTTGTTGGTGTAACTATGGCGAGAGGATAAAGATGATGATGATGTCATGTTGATGCAATAATAATGCTATTGATGGAGTTTCTTATTTACGATTAAGATGATAAAGTGAGTTTATGATAGTGATTAGATGATGTTAATGATGAGCTGGTGAGGTTTGGCGGTGATGTTAGAAATTCGAATTCTTTTTTATTTATTATTTAATGTTTTATTTAATTAAATTTTGAATAAAAAGCTGGTGAGGTTTGGCGGTGATGTTAGAAATTCGAATTCTTTTTTATTTATTATTTAATGTTTTATTTAATTAAATTTTGAATAAAAAATTTATTAATTACACCTGCGATTTGACCAAAGTGGTGCAAATAGCAAAATGAAACCGGCCCTTATTTAGCTATTTACACCACCTATGTAATTATTGAAAATTTTAACCTTTTTACAATTTCAAAATACTTTATATTCACTTTTAACCAAAGGATGGTGCAAATAGCAACACTCATATATTGAATGATACAAAGAATCCCAGTCAAAATATGAATGATAAATAGTGTGCCTTAAAATACAAATTCCTAATGAATTTTTTTTTTTTTTTTGGAAACAATTCCTAATGTATATATAAACATCATAAGATTGATATCTATCTATGCACTACCGTCAATCGTTATACCCTACACCACGGTGCGCGTAGCACTGTGCATCGCGCGCCTCCCAAAACGACATCGTTTTGGGGTCGTTTTGGGAGGCGCGGTAGAAAGTTACTTTGATTATGTATATTTGTTCACACAATTATGTATATTTGTTCATACAATTATGTATATTTGTTTATACAGTTATGTACATTTTTTATACAATTATGTACATTCTTTTTATACAATTATGTACATCCAAATCAGAAAATTTCTGTGTATTATGTTAAGAGTTGATGTGTATTATGTTAAAAGTTTATGTTTATTATGTATTATGTTAGATTATGTGTATTATCTTTTAAAAAGAGTATGTATATTTTGTTATATAATTATGTACATTCATATATACAATTATGTGTATTCTAGTATAACATTATGTACATTTTTGAACAGGAGTTTTTTTTTAAAGAAAACATAACTGCCATACACTGGGCGGAAAATTTCAAAAAAAAAATAAAAAATTAAAACGACGTCGTTTTGCATCTGGGCACACAATACAATGCGCGCCGTGGTGTAGGATATAAATTGCCCACTACCGTGGTAGCTAAGGTTTGAGATCCAATTAAGTCCAGCCGCGCCGTAGCCCACAACCGACCATTGCAGCACCGTCGAGGTACGTACGAAGTGCATGCGGGTTTTTTCTGCAACGCAAATCCTTAGAAGCTTTTAATTAGCATTCTATTCTTCATCGAATTTAATTTGCAGGAAACGTAACATTCAAGTTCGAAGGTGGACTACGCTTCAAAAAAATCGAAGAAGATGGACGACGCTTCTTCAAGTTCATCAACTCCTGCTACTTCCATAGCTTCTCTTCCCCAAGAAATAATTCTCAAAATTCTCACCTGTCTTCCTCCCAAATCTGCGGTCTCTTTCAGGTGCACTTCTAAATTCTTCCATTCTTCAATCCCTCAGCCGCACTTCAAGTTTAGAATCCTCTTCTCGTTTCCATCCGCAAGCAATCCCACAAATCTCTACACTGTGGGCTACACTACTGAAGAGAGCCATGGAAGGCTCCAACCCAGCAGTCTCCAACGCTCAGCGGACACTAGTACAGAAACAGTCATTCGCGTCCAAAGTAAAGCATAATTCGCGTCCAAAGTTGCTGGGACGCAGATGTCGGGGAATAAATTTTTGACACGAAAAATGATAATTAGCGTCCAAAGTTGAAGAACTTTGGATGCGTAAAGTATTTTTTTATTAAAAAAATAAACACTATACGCGTCCAAAGTTAATGAACTTTGGACGCGTATAGTGTTTTTATTTAAAAAAAAATTACTATACGCCTACAAAGTATAATATACGCGTATTATATATATATATTTTATATATTTAAGTTTAAAAAAAAAAACTGAAATCAGCACTAATACATAATATGACAAAATATGTGTTGAGATGGCTTCTAAATCTTACAATTGCACACATACACTAAAGAAAGCAATGAAATTAAGCAGACAAGTGAAGCTACTCACAGATAATTAATCAAAATCATGTCATTGATGAAATAAGGAAGACTTCTGCTTAAATTATTATATGCAAGATTCCTGAACACACAAACGAAAACACTACTACTTAGAGAACTAAACAAAAACACAAATACAAAATAAAAGTAGACCAGACACTTCACTAATAATCAAATGGACATAAACTCACCGTAAGCCAGGTGGATAACCATTGGACCAGAAGAGAGTTTAGGTGATGGGAAGAGATCTGCCCCACGGGATGTATCACAATATGAGAACGATTGGGGAGAATCAACAGGTGATTTCCATGTCCCTATACATTGCAGAACGAGAGTTAGACAAGATATAAAATCATACAGAACTAGAGGGCACTAGAAGAGAAGTCCTCATACCTAGCGCAGAAAATTCAGATACCGATGGAGGTAAATTTGCTGGGTGTGCACGCCTGTTCCTTTGTGGAGGCTGGAGCGTTTGAGGTGTCGAAGTGACAAGTGCTTCTATCTCCCATGGTGAAACCCTATCAGGACACACAATTGAACATGGTTCATCCCATTGAACTTGAACAAACAAATAACAATATAGGTGTGCCATGATCCACTACTATTCTTGCAACCCTTAAAATGCTCTAGAAGATAATATCCCAAATCACAAAACACCCACCACCCCTCCAGTCACATAAAAGGAATCACTTCGATGACAGAAGATTTATTACAAGCTCTAGAAATAACAATTAATTTTATTGAGAATGAAATTGCATGGCCTATAAATAAAACATTGATGTCTTCACTGTAAAAGGACAAAATTGTCCAATGAAATGCAAAAGAAAAAGAGCAAACCTTGGCCTGTAAAAAACTGAGAAAAGAGTCCTAGTATTTATGGCATGCGATGCAGTAGCAAGAATTCCCAGATGCATACTGTGACTTGATATAACAGAAGATGGCATATTGTTCAGCTGTCTCATTAGCCTTCTGACTCCAACTCATTACATCATTTCTCTTCAGAATGATACTACAACTATTCCAAGGTTTATCAAACAAAAGAAAGCCTTACCGTAACTCTTTCAGCATATAATGGATTGCCAGCAAGGGTTCTGATTCTACCATTTGTTTGTGGTATGCTTTCTGTTAGTGAACCGTTAGATTTCTGGGATGAACCATTAGCACTCTGGGATGAATGAAAACATAAGTTTATACTAAATAACCTTCAATATAAATTACACCTAAACAGGTCACAGATTCCATTCTAAAAACAAGCTAAAAAAATTTAGAAACAATATAATAAAGTTCGGAGACATGCTTCTATTACACAAACTCAAACAATCAAATGAAAAAAAAATAATTCCGAATATCCTATCAGCTAGACAATAAGAGAAAATAATACAGTTCAAAGAGCTCCAACATTTCGAAACAAACCTGAGAAACATGGAGCCTTCCTCTATCGCCGTCGAAATGATGCATGTATGGCTTTCCTGGTTTCAATTCAACTCCTGGACGAAAGTTCAGAGAGATTCATGCTTTAAAATGCAACATTTCTATTTTGTACGTAGATTTCTTATCAAATTGAATTGAATTGACTTAGGTAGAATAGATACCAAATTAAAAGAAACATCAAAAACAAAAAACTGACCCCATAACCCTCAATAAGATTCTTAAACTATTGTTAGAATAAGAGCCTATTTTCCAACAAAGTCAGAAGTACCTTTAATGTAATTTGAATGTTATTTTGAACCAGGGTCCACAATGCAAGGTGGATCCTGGTACTTGGTATTATTTGCCCGAATCAGAGAGTTGGAAAATCTTCAGTATTCATTTATTCAGCTGAAGGGAGAGGGCAGCAGGCATAAGAGGCAAACGCCAAAAATAAATATTTTCCCTCATACCATTTTGAATTTTTTTTTTCCAACTTAGCAAACAAAGGAAAATGAATATCTCCATTTTCTATGCTTCCAACCACCAAGCATGGGAAATGAGATTTTCCCCTTCATAGGGTGAAAATCCAATCATTAGACTACTTTATTTTTAATTTTTTTAATAGAGAATTCTTGTACTAATTCATGGAAGAAATTTCTTCTTGTGCTTGTCAGCTCTAGGAGGCTTGAGGTAAGCAGAGTGGAATTATTGCTGCAGGTTGGGGCATTTTGTGTAGCTATTGGTGCTCTGGTATCAGGTAATCCATCAGCCAAACTATTAATGTTTATATGTGGCTAGAATCTACTTTAAGTGTTAGTTCATTAGTAATGCGTGGGAACTATGAAAACCAAATGCAAGGCTTCATTGTAAATAACAAAATAAATAAACAACAATAAAAATAACAAAATATAATTTAAACAATTACTGAATTTAAAATTTTAATTCTTACCTTTTTGGAGAGCGTACAACGGCGTCCGTACTGCGATGTCGAGCTGAGCTTGTAGAGCGGAGGCGTCGCGGCGGGGACGTCGAGCGGCAGAGGCGGGGACGTCGATCGGCAGCGGCGGGGACGTAGATCGGCGATGGAAGACGGGACGGCGATGGACGGGAAGATGGAGAGCGTGGACGGCGGGGACGATGGAGATTGATGGACGGCGTCGGACGGCGGGGACGATGGAGACTGATGGACGGCGTCGTACGGCGGTGCTAATGGAGATGACGGGGAAGATCGGAGCTGCTGATGGAGATGACCTTTACGATCTGATCTCGATCTGCTCGTAAAAAAGCTCAGGGCTTTTTTATCCCAAAAGCCCCAAAATAAATAAATCACGTCCAAAGTGGGCCACTTTGGACGCGATTTATTATTATTCGCGTCCAAAGTACCGAGCTTTGGACGCCAATACTGTTTTAAAATTAAAAAAAAAAAAAATTATTTATATAGTGGCATTTTAATTATAAAAATGCCACCGCATTACACTTTAGGCGTCTAAAGTTCTGACTTTGGATGCGAATTAATCGATTTTATTGATGTTTTTTGTACTAGTGAGATGAATTGCAGCGTTTTAAACAACTTCATGGTTCAAGCTTTGCAGATGGGAAGCTTTGTCTGTTCAACAGAAATGGAGAGATCACTATCTTGGACCTTAGTACAAGACAATATATTTCTCTTCCCCAAACATTTGTCGAGCCAGGAGACCTGTGGGAAAAAATTATCTTTTTCGGTGCAGCCCTGGGTTTTGATCCGGTGTCAAAAAGGTACAAGGTTTGCAAGTCAGAATTATACCTTAATAATAGTCACTACTTTTCTTCCACCCCCGAAGGTATGTTGAAGGTTTTAACTCTTGGGGTGGATGAATCATGGAGGGTGGTGACTGCCGAAAACATCTTCCACCCTCGAAAGAACATTGCTTGTGTTCAAATTGATGGTATTATCTATTTGATAAATTTTAAGATAAATTATAGGAATAAACAAGAAATTGCTGTATTTGATATTGAGACGGAGAATTTAATTAGGGTGATACCTTTTCCCTATAGATTCCAACACTGTGTTTGGCCGAAGACGTATTATTCATCATGGGTGAAATTAAATGGTCAACTAGCTTATATTTATGTTGGTTTAATCGAAAGGACCCGAATATTTGTTTGTACTTTGGAGAAATCATTGGGACTGGTGTGGGACAAACATGAGGTTCCTCTTACATTGGAAGTGGAAAAAATCATTAGCGAAGCTGAATTCGTGGGCATTACAGCCAATAGTATTGGAGAAATTGGGTTCATGATTCGAGTTGAGAGAATGCCTTCTTCAATTTTAATTTATGCATGTGGAACAAAAGTATGGAGAAAGTTTGAGATATGTGGACTTCCTAACTATTCATCTTCTGAAAATTTGAGAAGGATTATTGTGCATGTTATAGAAGAGAAAGTATATTTTTCTGAATGAATTAGAAGATGGATCTTTAAGTAAAAGCATATTTATTGAGTCTGAATGAATTAGAATATTTAGTTTATTTTGATAATCTGCCCATCGTGTATTACTTTTATCAAAATGGATATAATGTATCTTAATTTTATATTATTGTTTTGTTGTGTTATTTAATTTCCTTGCCAAATGAAAAGTTGTGAATCTTATCACTACCATGAATCATTGAGCACATAATTTTAATTTTTTTTTTTTTAAAAAAAAACTAGTATTTTCGCCCGAGCAATGCACGGAATAGATTTTTTAAAATATTTTAAGAATATTTAGATCGATATGTAATTATTTAAATTATTACATCGAATATTATATAATGAAATTGATGAATTGAGTTGGATCGATTTTATTTTCTAATGTTATCATTGCTTGAATTCGATCAAATAATTGCTCAATTAATAGTCAATGTGTAGATGTATGCATCCAGTGCTGAAACTTTAGATATTTTAAATATCACTGTTCAGTGAATTATATCTGCGGATCATATTTAATTTTGAGTGAATTATTAATATTCATTAACTTTTTCAATTGGTCTAATTTGTTTTTCATCTTTAAGCAAAATCTTCCTTACACATTTTATACATAATTACACATCTTTATATATACGTATTGTAATGAGGTCCCATAATTTTGGATAAAGATGTGCTACAAAAGCCGTCATAATTAATTTCTTTTGAATCATTCATACGTATTGCAAGCACATTTTCATCTTTAATTACACAAATTTCCTTATAAACTGTGGATACTAAACGATTTTATTCAATTTTCCATTAGTAAATATATATCTTTACATAACTATATTTCCAGTAACATATATATACAATTTTTTTAAAAAATATCTCCATTAACTTTTCATTTTATAAAATATATAACTAAGATTAATATTTTTTCCATCTCGAATAAACCTTTTTTTTTTACATACTCGGCTAAACCTTATAATTACACAATCCATATATTTTTAGTATAAAATAACATTTGGTGCAAAAATTATTAATTTACATCTCGATTAATATTATTTCCATCTCGACTAAACCTTATATTTCCATCTCGTATTGCAAAACATTTTCTATCTTTAATTACAAAGTTTCCCTTATAAATTGTGGATACTAAATTATTCTATTCCATTTTCTATTTTTAAATATATATATCTTTACATAACTATATTTTAGTAACATATATATATACATATTTTTTTTATATTTCCAGTAACATTATATTTTATAAAATATATAACCGAGATTAATATTCTTTCTATATACTAAGTCTGTTTGGAAGCATTTTTCATTTTCAGTCAATTATTAATAGTCATTACTATTTTAATTGGCCTAAATTTCGTGTCATTTTTATTCTCAGTGAATTATTATTTCCATCTCAGTTAATATCTCTTTTCTCCTCGGTTAAACGTTGAGATGCAAACTTCATTTTACATTTTTATTAATACAGTTTATACCAGTAATTTTTATATTTTTAGTAACTTATTAATATTCAATTATTAATATTCATTTTCTTTTCCAATTGGCCTAATTTCCATAAAAAAATTATATTTCCGGTAATTTATTAATATTCATTTCATTTTTATTTTTTAGTCAAGTATTAATATTCATTCCATTTTTGTATTTGAGTCACTTTCAAAGCATTTTTAATTTTCAGTCAATTATTAATAGTCATTTCCTATTTCAATTGGCCTAAATTACGTGCCGTTTTTATTCTCAGTTAATAATTATCTTTGTAATATTCTTGTAAATACTATAATTCCACCCATGAACATGATGTGGATAAAAAAATAAAATAAATGAATATTCAAAAGAATGTAAACTCATTAAATCTTTTAATTTAAACAAAAGACAAATATTCAAAATTTAAAATATAAAATATATATGCTTATTCATGCAGTTTACTAAATATGTTTATTACCAATTAATTATATTTCCAATTATATTATAAAATACCATACATATTATTACCAATTATGCTATTATGAAAAAATAAAATAAATGAATATTCAAAAGAATGTAAACCCATTAAATCTTTCAATTTAAACAAAAGATAGAAATTTAAAATTTAAAATATAAAATCTATATGCTTATTCGTGCAGTTTACTGAATATGTTTATTACCAATTATATTATAAAATACCATACATATAATTACCAATTATGCTACTATGTGGTTATCTAATTAATATATTTTCTACATGGTATTACCAATAGAATATTTAATTAATTGACTACAAAAGTTTAAACAAAAAAATGAAATAGGAGAATTTATATATATATATATATATATATATATATATATATATATATATATATATATATATATATATATATATATATATATATATATTTATATATAGGGAAGGGATCAGGTGCATTTGTTGCTTCCCGTGCGGTTGTGCGGTTGATTAATGTGCGCGAGGTTTATACTTAATGTGCGTGATGTTAATATGCGTGAGTTTTGTACTTAATGTGCTTGAGTATTGTGTTTAATGTGCGTGAGATTTGTGCTTAATGTGCGCGAGTATTTCAGAATTACGAGCTCAGAAGGAAGCAGAACAGAAACTCACGCACATTAATGTCCAAGCTTCTTGTTACTTCTTCCTTCAATTTGGCCATGGATTCTGGATTATCAGCTACCTTCAGTGCAGTTGAATGTTTATATAAATGACGCACTCACAGTAAAATTTGCACAGCAACATCATCATAATTGTTAACCACAACAGCCCGCCTCCGCATCATCATCATCGGGGGGAGGGGCATCATCATCATCGGGGACGGAGCAATGACTACTGGGATGGGGAAGAAGCTGAAATCCATATTTTCTGCTGCATTTTACACATTCACGCATATTAAGTACAAATCTCAGGCACATTAGACACAACACTCACGCACATTGAGTACAAATCTCACGCACATTAATAACCACACAACCGCACGGGAACCTTTTTTTTTCTCTCTCTCTCTCTCTCTCTATATATATATATATATATATATATATATATATATATATATATATATATATATATATATTATGTATTATTTTTATTATTAAGGTATAATATTATTAAATAAGAATTATTTAAAATATATAAATTCACATTAAGAAAATTCTTATCAATTTCATATATTAAAACTATATATTTATATTAAAGGTGAGATTATAAATAATTAAGTTTCAATAAGTTTAGTTATTCCCAAAGTTATATATGGTTAATAATGAATATTTTTCTATATTAGATTATGCTTATATATGGTTTACCCGTATTAACTATCACTATATTAGATTAATATATAATTTTTTAATATAATATATAATTAAATCTAAACAAATTGTTAATATTTATTCAATATTATTATGAAAGTATTACAATTATAAAATTACAATTATAGCTTTGTATATGAAAAACATAGAAACTTAAATAGTTTAAATCAAAATTATTAAAAGTAATGAGTCTATAGTACAAAATAAATTATACTTACTTTAATAATTAAGTATTAATATAATTTCCTAATATAAATTTACAATTATTAATAATTATTTGTGGTAATTATTAGGCATTAAAATCCTCCCTGCATAACACAAAGAGAACAATAAAAAAACACCATCAGATACTTAAAACACAACCCACAATATATATATATATATATATATATATATATATATATATATATATATATATATATATATATATATATATATATATATATTTTTTTTTAAAAAACATTAAATGGAACAAATAATCCATACTCTAAAAACAAAAAATATAAGAACATTGATTT